GGAAAATTTTTCTTGTTAAATATAAAGTCTTTCCACATATGCACATTTAAGGTACATTTAAGATGAGTTTCCTGAGAACATAAATGCTTAAGAGGAACAAGCAGGAGTTCATGAGGGAGATCTTAATTGGCATATTTCCTGCCTTAAATGCCTGAAGTATCTTGAGTATAATGTTGCTTAAATAAGGCTCTTAGTGTTTAATGTGATAGGACTTAAACATTCTCTTTTTGCTAAGGTCTATAAAACCTTTGGCTGTTACCGCTCATTTTTAGCTACCAAATTTCCTAAGGAAGAACAAATAGGTTGAGGTTTCCATTTGTCTGCTCAAATCTTTTCTATTATCTGGCAATAAACTTTATTCTTCTTAAAACCTGGGACGATCCACTTGGAAAGGGAGAGACTAGGTGGTCCATCCTAAACATGATGCTTTACATAGTGTAGGCCTTCTGCTTGTCAACCTGCTTCTCTCACTGTCTTTTGATCCTCCCAACAGTCTTATTGAAGTGGATAGGATATAATGAGAGACGTCAGAGCTGGAACGCTGGTAAAGCTACATTTTCCTTGATTTTGCACAGTTAGTAGTAGTAAAACCTTGCCGTAACACCATAAGTGAAGTCGAAAATATTTAACCAGGAAAACACAAATTTGCGTTATTTCAAGGTTAATCAAATAACCAGGATACACCTATGCAGTTTACCGTGCTGGGCCTTCTAGGGCTCAAACTATGGAATGCAAACCCACCCTGATCCCAGCCATAATTCAGCACCTGGTCGGGATGATTCCACAGATGGTGGGGGCTTCTTGAAGAGCAAAGGGTCCAGGATTCTCCCAGGTAGTTGAGACCATTTCTTCAGGTTGATCCAGAAAGATTGAGCTGGGAGAATGCTGGGGACATGGAGACCCCATTTCTCAGGACAGGGTGGCTGGCCATTTCCTCACTGGTCCTACCCGTTTCTCAACATCTTTTCATCCCCCACCAGGGAGATAAAATTTGTTTACCCGCCCCTGATTGAGAATGGGGGCTGTGTGAAGTATGGAACCTGTTTCCAGAGTGTCATATCCAAACCATGAAGTTTTGCTGTATTTGTAGAGCCAGACATGGAAGTCAGATCTCCTAATTCCTAGAGCAGAGCCCTTTCCCCACTTTGCTGGCACACTTCAGAACTACCATCCCCGCCATTATTATTCCAGGCTGCACACCTCCCTATGTGAGCAGAGTTCCTGCCTAACAACTTCTTCTGAAAGAGAGAGCAGACCCACCCAGAATCAGAAGCCCAGTTCCAAACCCAGTTTCCCAAATCTGGGCTTGTCATTGTGCGGATGACTGAGAAAAATGTGAGAGGGTGGTGTGGGGGAGTGTTGTATCGTTCTTTTAAGTTTTAACATGTTTTTACAGGTTGCTAACTTACTTAACACAGCTCATAAATTCTGCCTGCATCTCACAAACCACTTGCCTGCTCACTATCTCGACTTACCACAGCTTATGATTTTCATCTATTCTATGTGTTTTTCTTGTCTTCTCTAGCAGAATTGAATATATAAGCACACATTATAAGCAGAAAGGCCTACGGAAAAAAATAAGATAAACAGAGAAAACATTTGAGTTACAGTGCCAGGAGGAACAAAAACTAAAAGAGAGTTCCTGCTCAAAACTCCACCACGGTGGGCTTCCCTGGTGGCGCAGTGGTTGGGAGTCCGCCTGCCGATGCAGGGGACACGGGTTTGTGCCCCGGTCTGGGAGGATCCCACATGCCGCGGAGCGGCTGGGCCCATGAGCCATGCCCGCTGGGCCTGCGCTTCCGGAGCCTGTGCTCCGCAGTGGGAGAGGCCACAACAGTGAGGGGCCTGCGTGCCGCAAAAAAAAAAAAAAAAAAAAAAACCCCAACAAAGAAAACACCACGGTAATGTGGTGGGTGCTTCTTGCTAAGGGGGAACAAAGTGTCAGTCACTGGAATTGCATGGTGCTCCGAGACTTATTGGGAGCCACCTTTCCAAGAGTTTGTTTCTGCTCCTTTGACGGGGATAAATCATAACGAATACGGATGTACCCCAAGAAGCCCGTCCTTCCCAACCACCTCCCATCCACTTCCAGCCCCTACTGTGCTGGAAATCACACTTGGGATAAGAATAAGGCTGGGGACCTTGGGATTGACATGTGCAAGGGGGAGGTGATTGAGGAAAGGGGAGTGAAGGAAGCTCACAGAGCCATGGAAAAGAGTGCAAGGCACCATGGGATAACCAGTGCATGTGGAATGTATTTATTATATGACTTACTTTGAGAAGTCAGCATAATAGAAGGGTTTATATCTTGGACCCCTGAATCATAAGAACTATAAGCAAATTGTCCAATTCAGGCCATGTCCTCATTTTCTAGGGCTACCACAGCAAAGTACCACAAACTGGGTGACTTAAAACCAAGGAAATTTACTCTCATAGTTTTGGAAGTTGGAAGTTGGAGATCAAGATGTCAACAGGATGGTTCCTCCTGAGGGATCTGAGAGAGAATCTGTTCCATGCCTCTTTCCTAGCTTCTCTTCTTCCTCTTCTTATAAGAACCCCTAATCATATTGGACTAGGAACCCTTCCTACTCCAACCTCATCTTCACTTAACTAATTACATCTGCAATGACCCAATTACAAATAAAGTCACATTCTGAGACGTTGATGGTTAGGCCTTTAACCCAACTTTTGTGGGAACACATCCAACTAGTAGCAGTCCAAAACTGAGAAATACAAATTTTATTTTATTTCTTTTGAGTACTCATCCTCTATATGATAGTAGGAACTATCACACACTCTGAAGTAGGAAGAATGAGTAGATTCCATTATATATTATATACATATAAATAATACAAAGTGTTAACAGTGGTTATCTCATAATAGTTATCTCTTAAGGAGAGGTGATGGGGGACTTTCATTTCCACATTGTATATTACTATGATGTTTGAATTTTTATAAGAAGCATGTACTACTTTGCAATCAGAAAAAACAACAAAGATACATTTTTGAATGGTTAAGGAGAGAGAAATGTGGCTTTTCCTTCCCTCACAGCCTCCATATTCAGAGTCTCTCTAGGAGACAAGGTAAGGATGATCATGGGTGAGAAAGTGAGCAGGGGGCAGGACCATAGGCCATTTGAAAAGTCCTATTCAGTGCTACAATTGCTTTGATGTGATTTGTCTTAGGCATTATCTGTCATTTCTTTTTCATTTTAAAATAAGATTGAAGGTGGACTCAAGGCTTTCATGTTCATCCAAAGAGGGCATGTGTTTTCAAGGTTGGGAAACACAGAGAACATGGAGGAGATGACATAATTTCCTGAAATAAACTGCTTCCTGCAACCAGGCACTGAGTTTTCCTGTCAGCCAAGGCAAAAAGGGACCATTGGCTTTCCGAGATTTTATCCAAACTGGGATTCCCAGGTAAAATTCAGGACACCCACTTAAATTTGAATTTAGATACACAACAAATAATTTTTTAAGTATAAGTATGTTCCAAATATTGCCCAGGACATACTAATACTAAAAATTATCCCGTTTAATTTCAATTCAACTTTTTGCATATTCCTTTTTTAAAATTGTGGTAAAATACACATAACATGAAATTTGCCATCTTACCTTTTTTTTTTTTTGCGGTACGCAGGCCTCTCACTGTTGTGGCCTCTCCTGTTGCGGAGCACAGGCTCCGGACACGCAGGCTCAGCGGCCATGGCTCACGGGCCCAGCCGCTCCGCGGCATGTGGGATCTTCCCAGACCGGGGCACAAACTCGTGTCCCCTACATCCGCAGGTGGACTGTCAACCACTGCGCCACCAGGGAAGCCCCATCTTACCATTTTTAAACGTACTGTTCAGTAGTGTTAAGTATATTCATACTGTTATACAACCAACATCCAGAACTTTTCATCTTGCAAATCTGAAACTCTATACCCATTAAATAGCAACTCCCCGTTTCGTCTCCCCCCAGTCCCCGTCAACTACCATTCTACTTAATGTCTCTGTGAATTTGACTACTCTTGATAGCTCATACAAATAGAATCATGCAGTATTTGTCTTTTTGTGACTGGCTTCTTTCACTTAGCATAATTTCCTCAAGGTTCATCCATGTTGTAGCATGTGTCAGAATTTCCATCTTTTTTAAGACTGAGTAGTATTCTGCTGAAAGTATGTACCACATCTTGTTCATAGGAACTCAAATTTAACTGAGCATCTGTATTTTTACTTGCTAAATCTGGCAACCCTATTCTGAACACATTAATCTAGATAAGCCTTTTCTAGGAATTAGACCAGAGGGGAGGAGGAACAATCAGGAGACACAGCTGGCAACATTTTTCTTCTGTGATTTTGCACAAGTCATAGAATGTGGTTCAAAGGAATTCTAATTTTGTCAACACTCTATGTCAGGAGTTCTTGAACAGGAGTCTATGCAAGAGTTGCAGGAGTTCTGTGAACCCCTTGAAGTCATAGGCCATGTTGAGTATATGTGCATCTTCATGAAGAAAGGAACCATAATTAGATTTTTCAAAGGTGTCTGAGGACCCTCCACCCACCCAAGGAGGTCAGGAGGCACCATCCTAATGACTGAAGGCATAGCTTTGAACTCAAGGAAGGCATATTTGCTGGAGGCTTGGGTATTATTACTTTCCAGACAGTCAATTTTCTGATTATCTAGCCTTGGAAATGGAGAAAATCTCAGAAATTAAAGAGTGGAACGTTTATCTGTCTCTCAGAAGAGGGATGAATAAGAGCTGCCATGCGTTCTACATTTTTCCCAGGAGCTGAATGGAAGCAAGTTCATGAATAATGCTGATCCTTGTGAATTTTCTGATGATGGTTAACCTTAAGAGGTATAAGCTTTAAATGCAAAGGCCCTTAAAGAAAGAGATTAAGAAAGAGAGTGAGAGAGAGGCAGACAGACCACAATGCCTGAGCAATAGATAATCTTACTCCTTATAGAAAACAAGTGATCATTTTGATAATTTCTACTTTATTTTTCCTTTAGCAATCCTTCTTCAATTTACCAACAGCTCTTACCAATGAGCTCGACTGGCCCCAACTCTCTGGCACTACTGGATTTCTGGACTCCACTAGTGGGTATGTGTGTTTGCACACCTTCAAACATTTCAATATGTCTATGTAAGGAAACAACAGGAGATGAGATTTGTCCCCAAGATGTTGAAATGAGAATTATTAGAAATTGCTTCTGGAACATGAGTGACAAACAACAGACCCACCACTGACATAGAGTCTACCTTGCGGTGGGGCTTATGCAAATTAGACTTTACCCCTGCTGGCAAGGAGGGGGTATTCCTGCTCAGGGGCTCTAAGGTTGACCTCCGATGAAAAATACTCAAGCACAACACTGAATTTTTCTGCCTCAAGAGACAAAGAAGCTTGCTTGCTTATTTGCTCTCATATATTAACATTTTAAAAGGCAGCAGGCAGTTCTATTTTTAGTTTTTTAAGGAACCTCCATACTGTTCTCCACAGTGGCTGTATCAATTTACATTCCCACCAACAGTGCAGGAGGGCTCCCTTTTCTCCACACCCTCTCCAGCATTTATTGTTTGTAGATTTTTTGATGATGGCCATTCTGGTGTGAGATGATATCGCATTGTAGTGTTGATTTGCATTTCTCTAATGATTAATGATGTTGAGCATTCTTTCATGTGTTTGTTGGCAATCTTCTTTGGAGAAATGTCTATTTAGGTCTTCTGCCCATTTTTGGGTTGGGTTGTTTGTTTTTTTGATATTGAGCTGCATGAGCTGTTTAAAAAAAAAAAGGCAACAGGCAAGTCTCAAGGTCTTAGAATCATCCTGGTTTTAATGCTCTGGAGTTGAAAGTAGAGAAGATGCATGGCGAGTCTGAGTGAACACAAACCCAGCGTGCTGTGTGGGATTGGGTGTTTTCTTGGGACCTGGGGACAGCCATTTAGAGTTTGAGCACCCCATTTTTTAATTTAATAGACGACCTCGCATATCCTGAATAACTTATTCTTATCTTTACTCACTCATTTTAAAAATACTTATTAAATACTTACTACCTAATAAGGCACAGAGGCCGTAGCTATTTCAAAGATAAATAAGGCTCATCCTGCCTCTGCAGTCAACTATAATCAAGGAGGGCAGATGAGAGAAATGTGCAAACATTGTTAATATGGGTTAAATGTGCCAAAAGACAACTGTCAACACAGAGCTACAGGGGTCAATAATGAAAGAAGAATTCATGGAAATTGTCAACAGCCACCTCCTTTTGGGGTGTTTGGCAAGGGGCTCAAACCTGAAAGGATTTAGGAGATGGGGACAATGAAAAAGGTAGAGAAAAGCTAGAAAAGATAACCAAACTTCAGGAAATGGCACTCATATTTATATAGAAATCATAATTTCCCTTATATTCGTGAGTATAAGGAAAAGTAAAAGAAATGTGTCTTCAAGTTTAGGTGTAGATTTTCACATTTAATCATGTAAAGAAAATTAGGTCAGTCCTTGCCATTAAGTGTAACAATACTTACAGTATGATTAATAGAGATAATAGGAAGTAACCTTCATAGGCATTCCCTACATACCAAGCACTGTACTGAGTGTTATTTAGAGGTTTTCTCATTTCATCTCTTTGTGAGGTGGGTGGTATTATTTTCTGCATTTCAAAGTTGAGGAATCTAAGGGCTAAGTTGATAGGCTAAGAAACTTGACCAAGGCCACAGGTGAATAAGAAGTGGTAGGATCCGCGGTCATGGAACCTTGTGAATAATGGAACCAGAGAATAATTTGGTGAACCAAGGCACTCCTAGCTCACAACTTCCAACTTTTATGTGTTGTTTTTATTCTACCTGTGGGAACGCGACCCCCTTTAGCCATTGTCCCTGTGTTTGAGAGTGTAGCTCTAGGATGAGGAAATGACCAAGAACCAAAAATGCCCTCCCCACGTGAAGAGGTGGCGTGCATTGTTTCAGACGTTGATCATGTGCCCATTGTCCCTTCCTAGGGCCCCCATACTCCCAGTGGTCTGAGGCCCCTGACAAAGACCAAAGGTGGTCTTTGTCACCTGGAACACGTCCAGAGATAGCCTGCCTAAAGCAGCATTGAGGACAAGTCTTGTTTATCTCCCCACTGTCAACATCAAAATTGAGAAAATATTATTTAAGTACCCTCCACGCAATCCAGCTATCTATGTATAAAAGTACTTGGAAATTTCTCTAAATCCAGGCCTTTATGACAAACAAAAAGAATTAGTTATGACTGAGAAATGGACACAGTTTACCATACTTTTAATGGAAGCTTAAATTTACATATGAACCCCACCTTTTGACCTAAAGCCTCATGAAGTTGCCATTGAAGAAATACTAGTCTGATGTTTAAAATTAATTGTTAAATAGTTTAAACCTTCACTGGAGACACTCAAAGAATGAAAGGGGAATCCATTCCCGTGTGCAGCTAAAATGATGAAAACTTGTTTCCTCATCTTTTTCCACTTACAGCTCATACCCACCAATAATTGCCCCACATGTCCTAAATGTAATTTTCCTAAAACCTCTACCCAAACTTAGCGCCTGCTCCCAAGCAGACTCTGTTCAGTTGTTTTCAGTTTTTGTTGGGCGGTGGGAGCAGGAGCCAGTGTCCCTCTTTCTTTTCTGCCTCTATTCTGTCCTCAGACCAGGGGGTTCCTCCGTTATCAATGTGAAATCCTGCTAGCTCGCCAATCCTATTGCAGTTGCCAGCCATCATCCTATGAGAGCCCAGCAGGCAGATAGATCTTCCTTAGGAGAGAGGCAACGGGGGAAAAGGGAGAGGAAAAGTTGTAAGTCATCAGACACAAATGGTTTATAATTCTTATGAGGGCTATGCAGAGAGATTCTGACCACACGGCACGAAGGAGGGAACCGTCTAGGTGCAGCTTATGTGGAAATCGTCTCTATCGTGAGCTAGTCTGTGCTGACATAGCACCTTCTTGTATTAGGCTCTGTAGAGCTATTTACAAAACAGTCTGCTCATGCAACCTGCTCAGTGTTGACTCTAAGCATTATCCTTACCAGCTGTATTTCTAAGGAGATGCGCCCCTCAGCTGGTTGGCCACCTGTCCTGCAGGGGTTTTTTCTCAATGCTTTTGCGGCCCAAGTTTTCTAGTTATCTCTCTCTTAGTGCTCTTTTGCCACCTGTTTCTGTGTACTGTGCCTGTGTTCTCTGCCGTTTAGCTGGAATGGAGAAGAATATATTTAACTCCTTTTGATAAAAAAGGAAATTCTCTGTCTGGAATCAGAGTTGCAATGGATCCCCCATTAAGCAAAAACACAGCAGCATGACAGTCCCTGTGTGTCACCATCCGGTATGTCCCTTGTAGCAGTAGCTCCTATTAAACTCTCATATACTCTCATGTAAATTATACCTGCAGGTAACCTGTGCTAGTCCAGTCTTCTTAAAAGAACGAAGAGTTATCAAGTGTGTAACAATTACTAAAGAGAGATCGGCATAGGATGGGGGTCCTCTTCTGGTGGAGTCAGGAGAATAAATAGAACACTGACCTAGAGGCAGTGTTTGTGAGAGATGTGGCAGCTGCCATAGGCATTTTGAGCAAATGTCCTTTTAAGTCCAAATGCTTATCAACATGGGGTAGAATTTATGGATTTCTCTATCCAACTGGATCTCTAGAAAGTGCCTCCTATTATCTGTGATCAGCCTCATGCTTTGTGTATTAACAATGTTCTTTGGAAATGTACCTTTGAAAGCAAAAGTTTGGAAGAGAAGATGGTTGCTTTCCTTTCTTCTTCCATTATGCCCTCCACCCCCTCAAAATTTAGCATCTCCTGTATGAGATGAATATAACTCTAATTGAAATTACATGCATGTATTAAAAGACAAACATAACCGCTTAGTTTTACAAATCTTTACATCCTTCAGTTGAGTCAACATTAATGAAATCTGTTCTCTTGACTCTCAGGCTTCAGAAAATTCAAAAAGTTATATCCCTTAAAACCATGTGTTTTCTGAAAGAAATTGAGTAGTTCAAAGGCGAAAGCAAAAAGCCCTCTGTGAGGTTGGCAGCTTGGGGGCTGGGACCCTGACAATAGGGAGAACTCTAACAGTAAGTGAGAAGAAAAAAGTATTTTTTAAAGATTAAAAATAGTTATTTGTGTTCAGATCACTTTCAAAAGCAATTAATGTAACAGGAAAATCCTATTTAGGTTAAAGAAGCCAAGGCCCAGTAACCCATGTAGAAGGATAAAAAACAATACCAAAATTTCAGGAAGGAAGAACTTCTTGCTTAAAAGCAATACATAAATAGATAAGGGAGATTAAGAGGTACAGACTTCCAGCTGCAAAATAAATGAGTCTCAGGAATGAAGTGTACAGTGTGGGAAATATAGTCAATAACTATGTAATATCTTTGTATGGCGATAGATGGTAACTAGACTTATCATGGTGATCATTTTGAAATGCATAAAAATATCGAATCACTATGTTGTGTATCAGGAACCAACAGAGTGTTATAGGTCAATTATACTTCAAAAACAAACAAACAAACTCATAGAAAAAGATCAGATTTGTGGTTACCAGAGGGGAGGGGGAGGGGGAATTGGATGAAGACAATCAAAAGGTACAAAGGTACAAACTTACAGTTATAAGAGAAATGAGTACTAGGGATGTAATGTACGAGATGATAAAATAATTAACACTACTACACATTATATATGACAATTGTTAAGAGAATAAACCCTAAGAATTCTCATCACAAGGAAAATAACTGTTTATGCTGTATCTATAAGAGATGATGGCTGTTCATTGAACTTATTATGATAATCATTTCATGATGGATGTAAGTCAAATCAATATGCAGTACACCTTAAACTTATATGGTAATGTGTGTCAGCTATATCTCAATGAAACTGGAAGAACAAAATGCAACATCTAAAATTCCAGAGCACTGTGAGTCCGTGTGGTAGAGTAGGAAGAAGCCTGTGTCTACAGGTGAAAGGGTTCTGGTTCTGTGTGGCTGTTAGGTGGAACATTTAGCATCCCTGGACTTCATTTATATGATGAAGTGGAGTTGCACCTGCCGATCTCTGACGTTCTCTCTGACATTCAGGTTTGGTTGTTGT